CAGAAGTACAATCTTAATAATGCTGATGAATATGACTACCACGCCACTCAATTTTAAGTGAGGAGATGCTGGTACTGAAAAAATAATTTGAATCTAGAAGAAAATGTCTGATATATGATTATGGATAAACTCTGGGCTAATAGTTAATAACTGACAAAACGCAAGTGGTATTCATTTTTGGCATGGTCTTGTGGCCAAAAAACATCTCAGTCACCAGAGGTGAAGTAAAGAGAGAAGATGTGGCATTTCTGAAAGCCGAGGGCCACACCTAGAGCTCTCTTAGTAGACCCTGCTTGTGATTTATACTATTTTAAGCATATGCACACAGACATATATACACATATCTTTCCCCACTCTGGAGAGCTGTTGTCAGCCAGGAATTTCGTGAGGTATAAATATTTATGAATAACAGTGAAACAATCATCATTCCATTCTTGAATAATTTTGAAGTGATTTCTATGTGCAAAAGCTGTAGTAGGTATTATGGGGGTCTGAACAGAAGTAAAAGCCCTAGGACTCTTCCCTACAGAAGTTCATAATGCAGGTAGAAAAGGAGACAATATTCAGTTACAGTTAAATAATAATATAAGATCGTTTAACAGCAACAAGCAAACCAAAAAGAAAAACCCAAGGAGAGTACCAGTTTAGAGGAAAGAGAGACCACAGTAAGCTGAGCGCAGAGAAATTATTCAAAAATGTCTATTGTGTGTGACACTTGGCTGGGCACTGTACACATTGAATTAGAGTCACTACCCTTAAGATTTGAAATAATTCATGATGGTAGTCATGGGGCCAGAAGTAATGTCTTATATCTAAGCCAATGAAGAACATTAAATTAGTAAATCATTTACATTATTAACGTAAAAGAGGTGGTAAAGGAAGAAGAAGCTTAGAAATTATTTATTGTGGAAAATCATTCCCTCCTTTTGATTACAGTAGTGAATGCTTTGCTAGAGAGGTGGGTTTTCTGGAGCTGTTCAACACAAAAGTCTTTTTCAACGAAATATTAGCAGGTCATGTATCTTTTTAGTATTGTATGAAAAAGAAATCTACAGCATTGACCTAAAACCAAAAAAATACTTACTCTTCTGAGAGCCATTGGTCTTAACTGCTTCAGACACATAGTTTTGCAAATGCTTCATCCCAAATTACACATTTCGTCTGTGGAATCCACTGGCAAACACTTGTGCCTCTTAGAATTGCCAACTTCTATATTCAGAGTAGAACTCGTCCATAGTTTATAGCAGAATGCCATTAGACCAGAGGTTAAAACACTTGGCTCTATTTCTGACTTCGACATTCTTCCTTGATTGCGGATCACCAAAACAATATTATTATGTCATTTACAAAGTCAATGGTTACATTTTAAGGATATAGTTCCCATCTCCAAAAATGCCTACCTTGTCTTGCCTACATTGTCAAAATGATGGCATACAAGACTGTCTGGGAGTTATTATTAATATAGCTGTAGCAATTTCTAAGAAGCTAGATTATTAATTAGCTTTGCTCAAAAGAGGAAAACATTAGCCTTCAAGAGTAAAACAAAGGTGGAATTACTGTTAGCTCTTGCTTATCTATGATATTTAGGATAACGAAAACTATCAAGATATCAACTGTGAAATCCACAGTTAATCCAAATCTCTTTTCAGTTACAGTGATCCTCAAACTCATTGTTTCACCAAATCTCTCACTGGAGCAGTTAACAAGTAGCCACACGATTGAAGTTTGGCTCGTTTTCCTTTCTCTTGCCCTCCCTCTGGTGGAGGTGTTAATGAGTGAAATGCCCAAGATGGGCAGCTGAAGAACTCCAAGGGTTTGCATTCTCCACCAATTACACCATCAGCCTTTGGAATGGTGAGTGACTGACTGGCTGACGGCTGCCACTTTATAGATGCCCAGTGTCTGCTTTAGAATGCATCTAAATGAGAGCGCAAAAATTAATAAAATATTATTGCTCATGCTTTCAGAAAAGAAATGACCTAATTTTTAACTGGGTTAAAATGTTGCTAATATATAACAACAAAAGGTTATGAAGAGTAGGGTTCCTGGTTGGGGAAACAGGATAAACACTTGCTTTATAATAAGACACACAATGCAATCAGAATAATATTTTTACATTTTGAAAGTCCCTTCACACGTATAATGTCATCTGACGCTCTCAACAGCCCAGCTAGCTAGGGAAGGTGCTGTCCTTCCTACTCGAAGATCCCAGGAAAGGACCAGGACCCAGGTTTCCCAAATCTTTGTTCTACACTACTGTCCCTGTCCATCCAGATAGGCTAACACACATAGATACATATGATAGCAATCTATCATAATGGCTGTTAAAAACATTCCCCAAAATGAAACATCATAATCATGCCAAACCCAGAGGGAAGATTAAATTAGTTACCCGCAAAGCACAATAATCAGCACATAATAAGCTAAGTTAAATGTTAATTAATATTGTTGTTATTATTATTAAAAACCATGTTGGGTAGTATAGTGTTGTGAAGAAAAGCACGAATTCTGGAGCTGATCTCCTGGGCTTAATCCTGGCTCTGTCACACAGCTTCTCATTACGTGTGTGTAAAGCTCTTGAAGGAATGCCTAGCACAGAGGGAGTGCTTTATAGATGGCAGCCACTCTTATTACTGATAGCTCTAGTACTTGGACACATAAGTAATAATTTGCCTTAAGTCACAAGGTAAATGATGGAGTAAGACTGTAATCTTGATTGCTTCCATTCACATCTTACAGAAATGTCTTTCTAGGTTATGTTATTTTCCCACACTTCCTAAAATGTGTTAACCTCTTTTTCATGCTCCTTCCATGGCCAATATTTACTCTCCTGTACCAAACTGAAAATCTTTTTAAAAATCAACATTTATAAAAATTTCCATTGCAAAAATCTTAACCCTAGATGTCCTCAGTGGTGAAGTGCTCCATGCATGCTCATTTGCATTTGAAAAGAGCTATTTTGTGCTTGAAATTGTTTTCCCTTTCTGGACATATTCTATAAGCCCACTAGAGGTACGCTACTTGAACCCTGCATTTCTATTCACTTCTTGTTAATTTACTCAACAGTATCTAGAACTGGATACTGCTATAGCCCAGTAGGCTATTCAGTAAATTACCAAGTGACTGGCAGGCATTCCCTCTATTTTATTCTTTTTTTTTCCCCTTTGTTATTGGCTGACTAGTTTTGTCAGGGGGCTGTCACGAACATGCAAATTTCACGGCCATATAAAGATGATCCAGTCAAAGCCTTTCCTCTAATTGAGGCTGAGGATTTGGTTGTATATTCTAAATGTTTGGCACCTTCCACCCTGAGGAATATTAAACACTGAGACACAGGTATTCGGGCTCCAGGGAATGGTGTCCCCGGCCCCGCCTCAATCGAGAAACAGGACCAAAGGCGGTCGGCAGGGAGCAGGGAATGGGGGAGAGGTCTTAAAAATCTCAGGGGATAGAGCGGTTAAGAAAGAGAAGGAAAAGGGAAGCAGATCCCATAGCTTCTTGGTTTTGTTCCTTTTTTTCCCTCAGGATGATGGTGGCAGCTGATCAGACACAATAGCTGGTGGTCCCCCGCCGGAGTGAGGATCCAAATGACCCTCAACAGCACCTACAGGAGGACTGGGAAAGGGAGCAGGGTGTGTCTGGGAGGGGGTGAGGATGAGGGTGACAAGGTGACAAACGCCGCCACCTCAGCGGGCTGCCCCACTCCAGCCCGACGAGGACCGGAGCGGGTGAGCCACCTCCCCGGGGGCTCGGGGGGGGGGGGGGGGGAAGCGGAGACAGAGGGGCGGTGGCTTTTCCTACCGGGGGAGGGGCCAAGGGTGGAGGGAAGCCTGAGTCAGCAGCGCCTGATTGGCTCTTCTTCTCTCGCCGCGTCTCCCGATTGGGCCATTTGCAGCGGGAGATGTTGTGAGGCGCGGTGGGGCGGAGCCAGCCGCCCGCGGTCTGAGGCAGGCCCCGGAACTGGGTGGGGAGGGGCGGCGGCGGGGCTCTGTCCCCCGAGCGGCTCTGACCTGTAGAGTGGAGCGGCGCAGCCACCTCTCCCTCAGTTCCGCTAGCCGCGCCGGCTCCGTTCAGCAGTCTGCAGATTTAAGAAGGGAAAAATAATTGAATGAATCACGCCTCGCTGCGACCCCCTTCCCCCAACAGGAGAAGCTATTCCGCTGTTGGGCGTGAAAAGGACACTCCCGTATTATCTTCAAGTCACACGTCGCATCTCTGCTTCTTTCCCCTCCCGTAGCAAAAGGAAAAAAGGGGGGGGGGAGCAAAAATTCGCCAAGATATGGTCTCCGCAGTCTGGGTGGGACCTGTAACCCCTCACATTCGCGAATCCAGCCATAGAATTGTCCCCCTCTCCGCCCCTGACGCCAAGCACCGAGTCTTCCCCAGTAGAAACCTCGGCTCCTGGCCTCTCCCGCTCTGCGCTCGGGAGACCGGAGAAGGCCGGGGAGGGTTTGTAGTGAGCCCGGCTTCTGGGAGGGGTGCTGGGGCGGGGGGCGGGGGGCGGACAGTGAGGGCTTGCAGGTCGGAGACGCCTTGGGAGGGGGTTGGCGTAAGTACCCCCTGCCCCGGCTAATCCCCCTTCTCCAGCGTCGGTTCCCGGGACCGTATTATTCAAGACAGAAAATATTCAGCCTCAGAGCCTCCCCTGGGGAGGGGAGGGGAAGGAGGTGGAGTGGGAGGAGGTGGATCCAGGGAGGAAGAAGCGAGAAATCCGCCCCCGGGAAACAGCTCGGCGCGGCTGCGGAGCGAGGCACTTCTGTCACTTGGCGATCGCGGGCGCCCGAGCGCGGCCCCGGCCCGGCCCGGCGAGGCGAGGGGAGAGTCCGGCGGCCGCCGCCCCGCCCCACGCCCTCCCGCGGCGGCCGAGAGCCCGGGGCCGGCCGGGGCAGGTCGCGGCGGTGCCTGGGAGCGGCCGGCCGGGGGCGGCGGCCTCGGAGCGCGGCGGCGGCGGCGGCGGCGGCGGGCGGGCAGCGGCCGGATCGTCTTCCCGCGCCGTCCGGCTCGCGCCGGGCGTGCGGGGCGCGCTGCCTGGGGCCGGCCAGCCCCGAGCGGATCCTCTCGGCCGGCTTTCTCCGGTGCGTGTCCGTTTTACTTTCGGCCGTAGCCGACAGGGCGCAGCGCCCGCGGGCGGGTGTGGAGAGCCCGGCCCGCCGCGGGCTCCCTCCCTTCCCGCCACCTCAGGCCACCCCGCCCGGCGCTGGCGCGGGGCCGGAGGGAGTCCGCGGCGGGCGCCCGGCGGGGGCGGAGGGGCCGCGCCCGCGTGTGCGGAGCGAGGGAGGGCCGGAGGAAGGAGGGAAGGGCACAAAGGCCGGCGGCGGGCGCCGGGGTCCGGCCGGCCGGCCGTGGAGGAGGGGCGCCTCGCGTCCGCTCATGAATATTAACCGAGCCTGCGGCCTAGCGCGTCCCGGCCGGGCCCGGCGCCCGGCCCGCGTCCCCGCTCCTGCTCGCGGCCGCGCCGCGCCAGCTGGGCCGGGCGGGCTGGGAAGGGTAAGCGCTCCGTGTTTGGTTGTGTGTGTGTGGTTTTTTTTTTTTTTTTTTTGGTCTTTCCCCGGGGTCTCCCGACACCTTTTGAAAAGTACATATTTGGGCCGCCCTTCCCGGGAGAACGAGATCACCGACCCGCCTCTGGAAGGGGCGGAAGAAATAGTGGTAGGTGGGTGGTGGTGGTTTTCTTTTTCCTCTTTTTTTTTTTTTTTTTTCTTCCCTAGGTGGCCCCAGGGAAAGGGAAAGGTGGCGACGAATGGTAGTTTGGGGAGCAGCAAGTAAATAAAAGTTGCTCGGGGTGCGGCTTCATTTCTGTCGCTCCGGAATAATGTCCCCGAGTCCCACCCGTGGCCGCGCACACCTCCCCACCCAGCCCCGCCGCGGGCCAAGCAAAACAGCCGCCTCCTCTGGGGCAGCCTCGGGGCGCGGGGGCGGGCGCCCGACTCCCCCTGCTCGCCTGCGAACGCTGCCGGCCTCCGAGGCTGGCTTTTTGTTTTTATTTTGGGGGGTGGGTGGTGGTGGTGGTGGGGAGCGAGCAGCGTTTTTGGAAAGCAGAATTCCATTTTCATCTCGCGGGGAGAAAACTTCCGCTGAGCCCAAGTGTCTGGGTGATGCCAAAGAGCGTAGACACTCTCTCTTCTGCCCAGAAAAGACACTGATGAAAATGCACTTGGAGAAAAGGGAAATTCTTTCTTGAAGGCTGCACACCAAGCAGGCGTGTTTGACGCTAGCACCGTGCAGTTCTGATGCGTCCGTCTCTCTCCCTCTCCCCCCCCCTCTTTTTTTCCCCTGGTTTATAGGAAATCAGGAAAATTCTCTCTTGGGAGGATTCTTTCCTCTTTCGTGCGTGAGGTTCATCAGCGTGGCCCGAATAATCTTGCCAAGTGTCGGAAAGGCGAACTTGGTGTAGACATGTGGCAAGGCTAAGGTCAGCGTCTGCAGAAAGTTCATGCCCTTGTAACCATTCCGTTCTAGGAGAGATCTCTCTGGAAGCTGACGCTCCAGCCTTCGCGACCCACTCGGATTCTTCTTGGTCTCGGAGTCGCGCCGAGGAGGAGGAGGAGGAGGAGGAGGAGGAGGGGGACCGCCTGCTGCACTTGGCCTCATTAGCTGCCGAGAAGACCCATCTTCTTTGTTTTTTTTTTTTTTTTTTTTTTAAGTCTCGAGAAATGGACGAAGACGGTGAAGTCAGTTGAAGTCCGCAGAAATCATCAGGGCGTTTGGAAGGCGCTTCGTAAAAACATTTCATTCCCTGGCACATTACTTGTTTCACGAGTCCCGCACCTCCTGGGAGCCCGGCGTGGAATTCTTCCCTTTCTGGTGTGTGGTAGCATTCCTCCCCCCAATGTGGACTCCAAAGGGTTGGTCCCTTCTTTGTCGTTTGAAATGAAATGATGGCCACACGTCGGACTGGTCTACCGGAGGGAGATGGTGACAAGCTCAAGGCCTGTGGGTCCCCCACCTGTGAGGTAAGCGCAGAGACGGCGTGTTGGGCCCCTGGCTGCAGGGTGTCCTGCCGGTGGGGGCAGGAGAGGCTCTGGGTCCTTCTGGACCGGTTTGTGGGAATGCCCGGGCTTGACCTTTGGGCGGTGCAGCCTTCCCCATTTTTGTTTCCAGGAACTTCAGTGATTCTTCTGCGAGAAGGGTTTCCTCACTTTGCAATGCCCCATCATGCGCTGTCACCTCAGAGCTGGGGCTTCTCCCACTGCAGGTGGCCGGGAATATTTCCAAGCGGCTCTTTTTCCTTCAGTCCCCGTCGGCCAGGAGTTTTGGAGTTGGGCTGCTGACGGGGTGCCTTGGTGCATTTTTGTGTGTCTGTATCCAAGATTGGCTCTCGGAGGTGGAGAGAGGGCAGCTGGTATTGCACCGGGGACTTAGTCCCACTCTGGCTTTGATGGGTGTTCTGGCTTGCGGTTGGTGTGGGTCTCTGCCTCCGGTAGGAAAGCAAGTCTTTTCCCATGGACAGTTTAAGCATGGCCTTGGAAAAAAACGAAAAAGATTTATAGAGTTGTAATTCCAACTGCCTGAAAAATCTGCCTTTGCTGTTCTTTTATTTATGCCCTGCCTTTCACTGCTCAGAAGTTCAGAAGTTCCGGGAGCGCCACCCCCCCCACCCGGGGGGGGGGGTCAGGTGGCTTGCATTGGCCTTAGCCCATCATCTTTGGGAGGGCTCAGAAGATTCTATGCCAGGCTTCCTGAAATTTTTTTGAGTAGGCAGGAAATCAGAAAATCCATTGATTTATTACACCCGTGTGCCTCGTTGCCTCTCCTATTCTTTTTTTTTCCTCTTCATATTTGGAATTCTGTAGTGACTATATTGCGTTTACTTCATCGTTGGGGATTTCTGTAATTTGCTTGCTAAATGTACTGAATATTGTTATCCTTTAAACTTTTGAGCCAGTTCTAGCGGCTGTTATTTTTATTGACAGATTGGATAGATAACAGTAACATCCCCCAAAGAGCCTATACTCTCATGTCTTTTGTGCCCAGAAGTGTTACATTTTAACTCTACGGGCCACCAGGTCTAGTTCTGAGGGTGTGAGTTTCGGTATTTTAGTAAAAATGAATCAGGTTAAATTTTTGTTTTTAAAGCATGTAGAAAAACTTGCTTCGTGTGTCTTACTTCATATTGGATTAGAGAGTCTATGTAGAAAATACAGGGAGGTAGATACAGTATACCATTACTGTACATGCTATTAGAACCATAGGTTTACAGTTAGAACAAGTGTTTTACTTTTTGACACCTGTAAACACCTGCTTGCAGGTAAAATGTGATTAAGTATAACACCACAATCCTCTGATCATGGTAAACCATAATAACTCCTTTTGGGAGGCCTACCTACAACTTGGCGATTGCTTAATGTGTATTGTAGTTACATAATAATATGTACTGTGGTCCCAGAGCCTTATTTGTCATTGTCTTGTGAATACTTTAATTAGCATGCTATTTGCATTATATTTGCAAAAACTAATGTTATTTGGGTTTTTTGGGGGGTTGTTTTGGGGGGTCATTTAAGGGATGTCCTGAAACTAAGAATTTATAATAGACACATCTTGTCCTTGGCTACAAAGCAATGTTTCCAGTTGCAAACTGGGCTTATATTAACACTGACAGTTAAGTTTTTTTTTTTTTTAAGGGCTGTGAAATTTGTTTTCATTTGGATGTTACTGCTGGCATGGCCACATTATTTCTAGTTTGGGGAACAAGAAACCATTATATTGCCCGTATTTTGCTCATTTAAGGATTATACATACAACTTGAGTTTGGTGTGAAGCTATAACATTGCTTGGGTTTTTAAAGAATAGGTAGATAGCTTACGTTCTATGCAGAAATAGAAAGAAAGAGGCTATGTGCCGTCAGACAACATTTTAAAATCTCAGGGTAAGGAGTAATTATTGCCTGTTTCATTGTCGTGTATTTAGCTCTCATTGATACTTCTGAAGCCTGTGAAACCTTGTGAATATTTATTAGTAATAAAAAGAGGCTTGCCCCTGGAATGGTTTGGGTTGATAGATATTTAAGTCTTTGAACACTGCAATTAATTTTTGTGTTTAATTTTATTAGAAGTATTACATTCTAAAGTAGTATTGTCATTCTTTAAAAGATTCTAGAAACCGATAGCTATGTTCCTAAATGTGCGTTTGAATAGTAGATTGATACGTATTTTTATCTAACAAAGAGATGATCATATGTGTCTTAATATTAATGCTGTTAATCAGCCAAGAAACTTAACTGTGCAGGACAGAAGAAATTGATGCAGTGAATTAATAGAAATCTCTGATTCAGGATTTATCTAATTAGCTAACTCCGCTTTTTATGGATCAGGTCTGTTGCTTTGTTGGAAAACATTCAGAAACTTCTCGTTCATCTGTATTAGAATCTAATTGTGTTGATACAGGAATAAATGTAAACACCCCCTCCCCCAAGAATATATTGGAAGGTTAAAAACCAGACATAATAGACAGTCCTCTTCAAATAATGAATTGTGACAATTCAGTAGAATGTATTTGGGGATTGGAACGTAAGGATGGCACAGTTCAGTTCATACAGAATTATACACTTTACATGTCTGAAAACATGGTTTTCTACACTCTGGCTGGCTAAGAGTGTGTGTGTGTGTGTGTGTGTGTGTGTGTGTGTGTGTGTGTACAGCCTGATCTGTGAAGTGTTCCGACAACCAGCCTTGAGGAGCTTTGCTTATAGAATCACTTAGTTTAGGCCCTGTGATCTGATCACCTCTTTGATATCCTCTAGAGCTCATCCTTGAAGGTTCAACTTGATTTTTGTTGTTTTTTTTTAACCAAAGATGAAAACTTTTCCCTCAGCTTTTTAGACCAGGTTATTTCTCCTATTTCTGATATTTATTTCGCTTTTTGTCGCTTTTTGTAGGCCCTCGTATTGCCCAGTAATAGAATTTTTAGCACTTTCACTGTCTGTTGTCAAGACAGACTTATTTACGAATGCTAATTAATTTCTTTGATCTTATGGCGGACCTCTTCATCCAGGCTAAGATTATCCTATGACTACAATGTACCATAGCGGATGAAAGTCCATTGTGGGTTGATTTTGGGAGTGTAAATAATACAGGAAGGCATTTTCCTGTGTGTGAACTCCTTTTGCTCTTCTCTCTGGAATATCTGGGCCCTTTGCTCTGATCCCAGACCCCCTTGTTGCTTCGCACGCGCTATCCTGTTCTCTCTCTCTCCCCCTTCCGCCCTCCCTCGGGTTCTTCTTCCTCCACTGCCCCTTTCATGTTGGCTCTACCTCGAGCCAGACTCTTGCCATTCCTCTACTCTTCTCTTTTCTCCCTGGGTTTCGTTTTACACTCTCCCATGGCTTTAATCTGCATGCTGCTGATTCTAAATTTATAGCTCAATCCCAGGTTTTATAGTTGCTCTTCAGACCAGTGGAGCCTTTTGCCTATTTACCAAACAGTTTTTTTTTCCCCTACAAAAATGCCCAAAGGCATTTCAAACTTAACAAATTGGACTCCTCTTGCTGAGTTCCTTTTTTCCGTGAGTAGCACCGCCACCTCTTTATCTGTCCCCATCAAAACCCAGGTTATCACCCTTGACCCCTCTCTCTCCACGTTCCTCCCATCCCAAGTCCTGTCTGCATTCCAAATCCCACCGCCGCTACCTGAGCTCGGGTCAGCGGCATCTCCCGTCCCAACTCCTCCCCCAGTTGCCCAGCCCTGTCACCAGCCAACGCTCTGCCCGTGCAGGGGTCAGAGTGCCCGGCCTCCACGTTCCCCTGTGGAAAACAGTTCTCTGGCCTCCCATTGCCTTCGGAAGAAAGGCACCTGGCCTGCCCTTCTCCTGTTATGTGTCACCGCTTCCCACGCTTCCAGTCCTGAACTGCTGTCAGGGCCACCGGGGCGTCACATGTTTCCGCCTCGGGCCCTCACAAATGCTGTTTTCTTTCACCCTTCCCTCCAGCCACCCCTCCGTGCCTGATTTTGACTCATCATTCTGGTCTTTCCTTCAACATCACTTCCTCAGGAAAGCTTTTCTTGACCCTCCGAGACTAGATTAGTGGCCCCCGGTGGGTTATCCCCCAAATACCCTGTACTTTCTCAGTAATAGCGTTCACACGTTTCTTTTTCTATATTCCCCCTTCACTGCAACCCCCATAGGATCAGGTGCCATGTTTGTTTCTACTTTGTCATAGTAGGTGTTTAATAAATATTGGCGAATGAACGAGTGCCTACATAGGAAAGGCTTTAATTTTTATTCAGAGTTCACTTAGATTCCGATACACTGTACTGTCTTGATCGATCCCTCCTTCTCAGTCCCTGAAGTTTCCTCAACATTCTGGCCTGCTAAATCTTCATATATAGCAGGGCTCAGTTGGACCTTCTTTTCTTCTTTCTGTGCTCAATTTTATTTATTTATTTATTTAAAAAGGGTTTTTTTTTTTTAAGTTTATATATTTATTTTGAGAGAGACAGAGATAGCGCAAGTGGGGGAGGGGCACAGAGAGAGGGAGAGAGAATCCTAAGCCAGGCTCTGTGCTATCAGTATCTGGGACTCGAACCCACCAAACTGTGAGATCATGACCTGAGCCAAAACCAAGAGTCAGACGCTTAACTGACTGAGTCACTCAGGCACCTCCGTTTTATGATTTTAAATATCAAGTGGAGTTCCACAGTGTAGTGGTTAGCACTCTGGTTTCAAATATCAAGTATATACACCTATGAGTGTGTGTGTGTGTGTGTGTGTGTGTGTGTGTGTGTCCACCCCTGTTTGAGTTCAGATTCCTGCATCCACCCGCCCGCTCAGCCTCCATGTGGATAGTAAAGAGGCATACGCGGGCACCTGGGTGGCTCAGTTGGTTAAGCTTCCAACTTCGGCTCAGGTCATGATCTCACGGTTCGTAGGTTTGAGCCCCGCTTGGGCTCTGTGCTGACAGCTAGCTCAGAGCCTGGAGCCTGCTTCGGATTCTGTGTCTCCCTCTCGCTCTGACCCT